TGTTATTAGTTATATTTATGTAGTATTGTTGTAAATGCTAAAAAATTTAATTATGGTACAGAATCGAACGGAATCGAACCGAATGTAACCGAACCCGAACGGTTCCATAATTATATTTGGACCCGAACGGTTCCATTTATTAAATACTCGAAAATTTTGAGTCGGTTTGGTTATGAGGAGAACCGAACCGGACCATGTCCAGCCCTAGTTTCCGCCCAACTTTCCCCATGCCAAACATAGTCCTCTTTACAGCTCCTCCCTTGGAAAATAAGCTTTTCATTCATCAAATTATATAGCATTATTTTGCTATATCTACTTGTTCATTCTTTGATATCAAGGTTATAGCACATGGTGTAACCATTTAGATTACAATAACTGAATGTTCTGCACTCTGGTCACCTCGAAACCGAAGAAACGGTTCACTTATGCATAAGCATCCATGTTCTATGTATAAGCTTCCATGTTCTATGTACTACTTATATGTGTGTATGCATGTGTACGAGGAAACTTTAAACATAAGCTTGGGAGGTATGAATAAGAATCAAGCTTAAAATTTTTTAGTATAGGATTTATAATTTTTACCAATATGTTCCCACATCGGCAAGGCGCTAAAAATATCTGTAGTGCTTAAGATGATATTACAATATAAGGTGAAAAGAAGCATACATGTCTAGCGTCATTCCATTGAGAGACTTATTAACTTTTTTAACACTTAAGAATTTATTTTTAGCCTTTTAACTTTTCCACAGACATGATGTATCATTAGAATAAGAGATCAAGACTATGGTGGTGTAAGTAGAAATTTATGCCATCTATTGCTTGCAATGGATAATCGATATGTCTTTTGTTCAATTCAAATCTTATTGCAAAAGGATGGACTAGATGTTTAATTCTATGTTTTCATTCTAATGACCGTGAGTTATGAAACTTCCAAACGATTGGCACAACTATATTTAATCATCATCAGTTGAAGTTGAGGCAAGTAGGGACAAGTAATGTTGTTATACTGTTCTTTATGCTGTTGTGCAAGAGATCAAATGTGCAAATTTATGAACTTTGTAAAAGATTGAGCGTCTATTATGTATATCAACGGATGAATCTGAAATAATCATCTTAATAAAGATAAAATGTTCAACACATGTATTTAACCTTTCACATTATAGTGTGTGTACCATTGCTACGAGGGGTGTCCATCACCCAATGGAGTTATTTGACACATACCAATTGATGTGAGTAGAACTACTCTTCTATATGCGTTTTAAGTTAGGTAACTCCCTATTGGTATCAATCTCCAGTGAAAATTTGAATAAACCTTATATTCAGAAGAAAACATTGAAGCCGTTTTGCTATGCAAATCACCTTAGTACTTTAAGAAATTATATATAATTATGATTTAGTTGTCTAAACTCTATCAAATCAAGCTTATGCAGGTTTCCATTCAATTATTTATCTTTACACGCCATCTCATAATTGGATTAGATATGTGCGAGTATATATGTGTGGATCAGATTGAAAGATAATCATTAAGGAGCATCTCTTAATCAAATTTATGCTGATTCTGCGGAAACTGCAATACACAATTTGGTACTTTTATACCCTTTAGTGAAGTTAATTGATGGTTTTCTTGACGTTGGCAGGACTTGAAGTGAATAAGAATTGAAGTTGTTAAATTAACTCAATAAAAGCATCTCGGGGTGTCATGAACTCAGTTGGGCTGATGCATCTCGTGACTGCTGAGAAGTTAAGACCTATGTTTCTGTATGCGCATTATTCGGATATATAAGTGTAATAAAAAGTACTGTTCCACAAGTTTATATCCATAACAGAATGTTCATTACTTCTCTGTGTCTAAATATGTAGTTCTATTGTACACCTGTTTATTTTAAGAATTGTAAAACCCGTTGCTTATTCATA